TCCTGAGATAAGCGTATGAAATTTAGTCAGAATGAAAAACATCTCAAAGCTTTGAATCATTACAGCTCCAAAGCTTAAATTTCCAAATTTCTCACTTCCTAACTTGTCCCACTGAAAGGATATATAAATGAATAAATATATATAGAGGTGTGTACATACAAATATATATGTATACATATCATATATGTTATGCATATATTATATGTATATAGAATTTTTGCAAAAATTCCGAATTTAAAAGAAGTGCATGAAACCGAGTCTTAAGCGAGCAAAATGTCGTAAATAGGGTTTACTTTCCAATCTGAGTAATAATGCCTCCTGTCCTCCAGTTCTCTCCGGTCCGGAACCAATATGTTGTACAGATAAACAGTTCCGCTGCCAGCAATGACGCCGACCGTTATCCATTTGATCAGTTTTCGAAGCCGGCACAAATTTGAAGGCACCGAACTTTTCTCACTGGAACTGCTGCTTGTTGCGAGGTAATTCTGAAAGTAAATTTAAGAAAATGCCTAAAGCCATCGTTTGCTTGTAGCGTAACATCGATGCAACTATAATCTCTTCATGGCTACAGTGATCAAAGCCGTATTTTTGCCTTATGAAAAATATTTTGCACCCGTATTGTTTGCCTTTTTTTTTTCATTTTTCTCTTTTATCAACGCCATAACCTCATACTGAAGAAGTCCAGCCACGACGGTGAATAGAAATTTTTATGGATCAGTGGGCCGAAACATTCCTGTTCATCACTTTTTTACACAGTTTTATAATATAATCAATAGTTTAATATAAATTTAAGTTAATATAGCTTTTTAATATAATTTCGCATGACTTCAAATATTCTTATGCACATATCATAATTAATATTCCTATTATTTCAAAAGACATAAATGCTTTGTGAAAGAAGATAAACAGAGAGAGAGACTACGAAACCGGAATCGGTCTTTTAGAGTTCGCTCGGTGGTGAATTACAGTGTTAGTCATTTTCAGCATACATTTTAACTAATCCTTAAAATAGTAGAGCACGTGAGCGACATATTCCCAAAACGGCAATTCTAGGTTTAGAAGAAGAGAAGCGGAGGCAATCTGAGTGACAGGCGAAAAATGATATTCTCAAGATGAGTGTAGTAGTATCATCACTCACCGAATCACACAGCTGCATTACAAGCAATGCAAGCAGTACAGCTGTCCGTCGACG